TTTATTGAAGATAGACAGCAGCTTAATATACACTGTATAATAGGCTCATACATATTACAGAGATTAGGCTCCTAATTGGTACTTTACTAACAGGTGATATCATCTCAACTGCCTTGCCTTGTTTACACAGGTGGCTAATCAGTTGCCTTTGTTTTGGTAATGCAACCTCTTGTTTATCACCCAGCTTCAGCATATCAAAGACACTGTTGCTTTCTCATGGCCCTGTGTCTCAGAGGTTTCACACGAGCTAAGGCAAGAAGTTCACACGAGCTAATTCCCTACATTTCCCCGTTTTTGTTTTTTTTTTTTATTTGGCACCACAAAAATCTTATTAGTAAAAACCATCGTAAACCTTTCTTAACAAGACTTAAAACCCATTGTGACATTGAACCAAAAATAGACTGTAACTTGCTTTGTGTGATCTGTTCCCCAAAAGGTGTTTGTGAATTTGTGTTCATATATATACACTTATTCATATTCACCTACACATGTATATACTTCCATTCACCCACATCCACACGGTGGCCACCAGCACTCAAACACATTTCATACAAGCATACTTCTGTGTTCCATGTCACTGCGTTCCACAAACCTAAGAAATTATAATAATTCTCCAGTACCTAATAATGCTAGAGTTTCTTAACTACACAGATAAAACTAATCAGATAGACAAGCTTTCTTCCACCAATGTCTAGTGAGCAATCCAAAGGTCACACAACACACCATGCTTAAATTCTTACTCTCTATAATTATGTGTTTTAAAAATACTAAAAATTTGTGTTTAATAAACTGTGTTCTAGTAATATTAAAACAACTGTTAGCTACAACAGCTTCTGGTGGTGTCATAGTCACTTGCAGGAATAACATCAACCTTGTTTCGAAGAACTAATTTCTCTTAAAGGCTTCATCCATCATGCAGATAACTAGAAAACACCTATGTGTAAAAACTTAGGGCTGGCAATGGCAGAGGAGTTGCAGAGAGCCCCGTCACTTTAACTTCGGGTTTGCCACAGATGTCCGCAAAAGTTTTCTGGCAGCTGTACTTGATTTTTTAAGTCTCTCTGTCTGCTCTCGTAGTTCGATGTCGTTGTCGGTGACGCGGGGAGCAGGCAGCGGCAGCAGCGCGATGGCGCGGGCCCGCTTGCGGCTTTTCTCCCCTCCTGCCGTTCCTACCGAAGCTGTCCCTCGCCGGGCTTGGTGGAGGCGGGGTCGCGGCAGCGGGAATTGCTTTCGCGAACAGGCAGGCGGCGGCAGGCACAGCCGGGCAGGCAAGGCAAGGCGCGGCGGCGCCAGCAGCGCACAGAGGCAGCGCATGGCGGCGGGGGGGGCCGTGGCAGCGGCGGGCGGAAGCGGCGGGGCTGGGGGAGCTGGGCCCGGCCGCGGCAGCGCCGCTCGCCCTGCGGCTCCCAGCGGAGGGAGAGAGGGGGGGGAGGACCGGCTCCATGCGGCAGTACATCGGAGCCGGGTTCGGCTCCAGGCAGCAACAGGGCAGCAGCTTTAGAAGCAGCGATGGGAAAAACGGCAGCGGGGGCGGCGGAAAGCTCGCCGCGGCGGGAGGCACAGCTGGCAGTGGCCTCTCTGGCGTCCTGCATAGAGCTAAAACTGTTTAGGGAAAAAGACAAACTGCCGCTGGGGCCGCCGGCCGACGATCGGGCAGAAGCCTGCACTTTGAAATTTGTCGGTAGCACGATTATTGAGATAATGAATAAAAGTTGAAAAATTGACTCGCTTTCTTTGCTTTCAATTTCGCTGCTCGTTAATGCAGCACTTTGATCTCTTCCCCTATCTGGTCCCTTATAGCATCCCGTATGGACACTTTAAAGGTAGCTTGAGCAGTAGGGATTAATAACCCTTTAAGGGCTTTTTCGTCATAATAAGAATCTCTCTCAGAGAGAATTAAACAGAGGAGCGTTCGCACGCCTCTTCTTCTTATGAAAGAGCGGACCCCATGCCCCCCTTCAGCCGCTCACCTGACCAGGGTGAGATTCCGCTTGTATTGTGGTTCTGCACGCAGCTTTAAATTCTTAACGCCGGGGGCAATGTCTCGTCTATCGTCTGTTTCTCTCGGCTCTTTCTGTTCACCCTACGTCCCTCAGAACGGCGAAGTCGGAGTCTCTGTTTGTCCAGACACCTGTTAGTTCCTTTTTAAAGTCTATACCTTAAACTCCTCGGTTTTCCGAAAAGCATTGGAGTATTGATAGTGCCGCCTGTCCCTTCATTACCTAAACAACATATTACCACGCTGTGTGCAGCCCTTTCCTCGAGACTTTGCGGCTTTGTCGGCGGGCTCCTTCTTCAGGAGTCCCGGGCGCTGGGTCCAACTATTTCGTTGCCGGAAGCGCGGAACTAAATCCCTTCGCCGTCCAAAATCCCCGAACGAGAGGCTTTCGGCGGCGGCGGGTTTGAGCTCTTTTCGCAACGTGGGACGCGGAACTAAACTCTTTCACCGTCCAAAATCCCCGAAAAAGAGGCTTTCGGTGGCGGCAGGTTTGAGCTCTTTTTCGTCCAACCCTTTCGCCTTCTTGTGCTGCACGGCAAGACCGACCGAAACTACGTCCGACCGCGGCCACGAGAACCCGACTTGGTTCTACGGAATCCGACTTGATTCCAGCCCAGAAGTCCGACTTGACTTCTAGGGACCCCCCTTGGTCCCTGTCCACGGGCGCCATTTTGTCGCGACGGGGAACTCTGAACTCTTAATATAAGGATCCAAAAACTCCGTTTATTGAAGATAGACAGCAGCTTAATATACACTGTATAATAGGCTCATACATATTACAGAGATTAGGCTCCTAATTGGTACTTTACTAACAGGTGATATCATCTCAACTGCCTTGCCTTGTTTACACAGGTGGCTAATCAGTTGCCTTTGTTTTGGTAATGCAACCTCTTGTTTATCACCCAGCTTCAGCATATCAAAGACACTGTTGCTTTCTCATGGCCCTGTGTCTCAGAGGTTTCACACGAGCTAAGGCAAGAAGTTCACACGAGCTAATTCCCTACACTACCTGATTGGTTTTTTTGTAAGACCTTACACCTGTGATTGGCCCCCTTTGACCCTCACAAGAGCCTTATAAACCCCTATCCCCCCAATAAACCTTCTCTTTCATCCGTCCCTCCCTGGTGGTCTGTGTGTGTGCTCCTTGCGGGGTCGCATGCCACATGGCGAGGGGCAGGGTGGAAGATCATGCTCCTTCCAGGTAATGGACTAACTTCCAGGGCCTGAAGGTTCCCCCTCCGAAGATTACCTAAGATATAGATTTTTTTTTTCTTCTGTGCAGCAACTTAAATTTGATAAGAGCATTTTGTTTGTTTTAACTCCAAACAAAAAGCCAGCAGAAGACTAGTGAAATCCCAATTTTATTCTTACTCAGCTTTATATACATCCTGTGACTGATTTGGGAAAATGAGCCACATTTTAGTTAATCTGAAAAAAAAGGTAGTGCTTTAGGTTTGCAAGTTTTGTGGCACTACACCCTCCTTCATTTTAGTAGGTATTAAAAATACAAATATTCAAAAGCTTAACTATTTGGATGGAAAAGGCTTCTTATGATTTAAAGATGTTTATCCAGCTGTGGTACATAGTGTGATTTGCTCTGACTTTTTTTTTTGTTGTTGTATGGGAAGAAAACAAACCTTAGTAATGACTACAGCTGGGTTTTAAGCTGTAAGGGAGGGTTTGTTCATAGGGAAAATTGGAGATAAAAATTGTTTTTGTTTGACCCCATCCAAGTGAAATTATTTTTAGTTCTTTCCTGCAAACCATGAATTTTGTAGCAACATCAGTAGAGGACAGTATCTAGACAGTGGTGTATGGAGCTGGTAGTGCAGATGGGTTTCTCCTGGTGTGCAATCCCTGTTTGGGCCCAATACTAAAGAGCAGCCCAAGTTATTTAGGTGCACATCTCTGGGAGATATAACCCAACCCGGTTTCTGGCAGCCCCCAGTCATGGAGCATTTGAGCTGTTTTGGGAAAACACTGCAACAAATGAATGCTTTCAGAGGGGTGGACTTATGTGGCTTCTCAGCATTTTTTTAAATCCCATTTTTGATGAGTCTGTGGTCATTTCAGTTTTGCTATGCTTTCATTAAAATGGTTGTACACTTCCAGCTTTTTCTGTGATTTTTTTTACTAGTTTTCCACGCAAAAGATTTTTTCAGATTAATACTTCTGCTTGTTTGTGTGACATTACTATGCCATGACCATATTCTTTCTTCTAAACAGCAAATTAATCTTTATTCACTCCTGTGCCAACTTTGCATTGCTAGAGGATTGTTTCAAAGCTAAAACCAGATTCACTGACATGTTGAGGTCTTCTTTAAATTAATCACGTTCCTGTGACCTACAAGAAAGATGGAGAGGGATATTTTACGAGGGTGCGTAGTGATAGAACAAGGAGTAATGGCTTTAAACTGGAAGAGAGTAGGTTTAAATTAGTTATTAGGCAGAAATTCTTTACTGTAAGGGTGGTGAGACACTGGAACAGGTTGCCCAGAGAAGTTGCGGTTGTCCCATCCCTGGAAGTGTTCAAGGCCAGGTTGGATGAGGCCCTGACCAGCCTGGTGTAATGGAGCATTTCCCTGCCTATGTCAGGGAGTTTGGATCTGGATGATCTTTAAGGTCCTTTTCAACCCAAGTTATTCTGTGGTTCTGTGATTCACAAAAATAACTAACCTTTCTGAGGATGTAATCTTATTTTTATGCTATTTTGCATTTTGTTGTCCACAAAAGCCTTATTTTATGAGAGAACAATTAATATTCTTCTTAGACCATACTACATAATTTTTTCTTTTCCAAGAGTTAAGGCGGGAAGCAATGGGAAGTGTAGCAGTTGTTTCATGCAGGTAAGTGTCAAGTCAGCAAAGTGGTTAAACAACTTTCCTGTTTGAGGAGAGGTGGAGTTTTTTTAGAATTGTTTTAATTTATTGGTTTTAACTGTGCATAAGAGTTTAATGTAATGCTGATTTGAATCACCTTTTTTTCCTACTCTGTCTTCTAGCTTTTTCTTTTTGTGGTCTGGAACTTTGAGCTCTACATGATACCACTGGCTTTGTTGTTGCTGCTGGCATGGAACTACTTCTTGATCGTATCAGGGAAAGATAATAGGCAACATAATACAGTAAGTCTTCTCTACTTCAAGGGCGTACGTGTCCTTTTCTTTTTTTAGCTGGGCAAAATTTTTAAACAGGATTTAAATATTACATCTTTTTGAGGATCGTTTGAAACAAGACAGTTTCAGACTGGAATGTATGCAGCTTTTCTAGCAAACTTTTTTGCTTTAAGAATTGTTGAGCAATGGAAAAGGTAGCCCAGGAAAGTACAGTAGCTGTTGGAAGTTTTCAGGACCTGGCTGGGTAGAGCTCTGAGGAACCTGATCTGACCTCATGGCTGAACCTGTTTTAAGCAGGGGATTGGAGATCTGTTCCAGCCTGAGTGATCCCCTAATGTCTAGCAACTGCAATTATTAGTGACCAGAGGAACCCACACAGCCTTGATTCCAGCACTGTTGTTACCTGTCTACATCATTGAGACTGTTGTGCTTTCAAGGGTCATCTAAAATTAAGGGTGGGATTGATAGAGGTATTCCCTAATCCCAGATGTTGTTACCTATATGGAAAAAAGCCTAAGATCAAGATTTAAAAGATGCTGTACTTAAAATACAGCTGCTACTCTCCCATTGCCTGAAATACTTAAGGCTTTTCAACCTGAAGATTTCTTAGTAACCAAAATGAGAAAGGAGAGATTTCACTTGTGAACTGTAATACACCTAATTTCTCTCTGAAATACCACCTGCCTGTGAAGATTAATTGGGTTATGTAACTTTTCTAATGAAGCTAGTGATGGACTCTGTTGAGAACACTAAATGATGCTCAAAAAGTGTTCCTCTGAGAGTGCTTCTGACCAAGCTATATATTAAGCAACCATGTAGATCCCAAATCTCTGATATCTGTGCCATTAATGACTGCTTTTTCTTTATGTTTATCACAAGTAAGTTGGGACCTTGGTTTTAATGTTTTGAGTTTGGTTGTCCTCATGTTGAGCATCTGGCTTTTATGAAGTCTTCCGCAGACTTATTGGATGCCTTTCTAATTAACTCATGATGTTCAGTAGTATCACGAGTCCTTAGCTCAGGTCATTAGCACAGTATCATTAGAATACTGGTAATTTAAATATTTCTATTTTCCTATGCAGAGTGTAAATATTAAGTAAATTAATTAAGCAGTGTTTCCTAGTGGTTAGAGAATGCTTCAGCATTCACATGATCTGGCTTCTGTTCCCAAGTCTCCAGAGATTCCTTCTGGGCCTCAGTGAAATCATTGACTACTTTCTGAGGAGTATCATCTGTCTCTAAAAGTTACTCTGAAATCCTAAAGCTAATTATAAAGATAAATGTATTTGCGAACTTCACTTAATTAACATTAGACAAGCATAGTTAAAAATTGTGCACAGTTGTCTAAGTTTTATTTGGCTCCCTGCCAAGTCCCCAGACCCAGCACAAAAACATCCGGCAAAGAGCAAAGAAAAAAAACTATGAAAAATCCAGACTAGCTGAACTATATTAAAATAAATGTATTTACGTATATTACAGTTGTATGCAGTTGAAATACTATATACAATACCAAAAGGGAAAGAGAAAGGAAGGGGAAGGGAAAAAAACCCCAAAAACCAAGAACAGATATACACAATAAAAACAAAAACAAAAAAACCCTCAGGATCTAGCAAACTAAGGAATTAGCAAAAGAATATCTTACTACTTTCTTTGGGATAGCACAATTGCCCAAACACCACTGCCACGCTACCGGACTCAGGATCAGCAGGAACAGCAGGCCCCGTAGGCCCAGCCAGGCCTCAGCTCCCCCACAGAAGCGAGACTGGCTGCGGGGAATCTGCTGTCTCCAAACCTCGCTGGAAGGGAAGAGAGGAAGAAGCTTCTCTCTCCGTCTATTCATATGTTTGGATTACGTAAAGGAATAGGATGAAATCCTTCCTTCCTTCCTTCCTGGCGACTGGGAAGGAAGGCCTAAACTCAAAACCATTACAATAGTTTGTACTTTTTTAATGTCTATGGAACATACTTAAATTTGGGACCATCAAAAATAGCTTGGAAAAGTTGGTTTCCGTTACAATATCCCATGAGAAAGCAATTGTCAATTGTCTCTTCAGTTTGGGCTCTAGGAACCACACTCTTCTGCAGGTCAATGATTAGTTATCAGAGTTTCTGTCTGGATAGAGCAGAAAGACCAGCTTTAACTCATCCTTGTTTGACCATCTCTATAGACAAGGTATCATTTGCTATCTCCTCTTGGGCATCAGTTTTTTTGAAGCAGTTTGGAACTTATTTCCTTGTGGAATAATTTACCTGCCAAGCAAGGATGTGGGTTATTCTGTCATAGAATGAACCTGTGCTTCCTGTTTGAGTGCAAGTATGATTATTTTGTCATTTACTCTGACTCCTAATAAGTTATATGTGCGAGTCCTTTCTTGAATTCAAGGTGTACTGAGATTGGGGCAAGGGGGAGTCCCAAGTGTATTTACTAATAGGAGATAAGTGTATTGGAATGCCCAACAGAGAGGTGAAACAGCATGTTAGGCATTATTGCCTTCATAGATTCAGGTGGACTCTTTGTAGGATTGATGATCATTGTGGTTTTAGTCCAACACTGACACCAACTTTGAAAAGAACTATTAGATTCCCTATCTTTCATATATTTAGATCAAGATGAGTTGTGTTTCTGAAGGATATGCTTTCATGAAATAGGAACTCTTGCATTAAACTTTGGTGTAAGCAACTGTAGATAGACATAGATTTAATGGATGGTTCTCTAAATGAATCTGTGAGAATTCAGAACTGAACTAAAACAATGAGCTTCTGTCCTTAAGTCATGTGATAGGTATAAAAAATGAGATTTAAATATTTCCTGCCAGTATTAAGTGAGGGAAAACTATCACTAGAATGGAATTCCTAATGCCTTCCTCTGAATTTTGCATTTTTGCCTGAAGTATACACAGCTTCTTTCTCCAAGGATCCTTGCTCTTCCTTATAATCATACTGGGGGGGTCAAAAACTAAGCGATCCCAGATATGGGGTAGAAAACTGAAATCCTTTATTGAACACGCGCTTTGCAATATTAGGGTCTTGGAGGCAGGACATGTTAATGAGGAGGACGAGCTATGTTAATTAGGGAATTACACAAGTTTTTACTACCATTGCCGAATGGGTTAATATTTCCCTCAACCAGGATTACATAGGGAGAAAGGGATTAAAGGGCCTAGACATGGTCTGATACAATAATTTCAAAAAGTCCTTACTTATTTCTGCTGCAGGAGCCAGGCTAAATCCATAAGGTTGACTCTTTAATAAGTCTTGTGAAAAGGATTCAGCTCTTCAGATCACGGGATTCTTGTCAGCCACTGTTGCCCAAGGTTTATGGCTCTTTTCTGCAGATATTATATTTTGGGATCCTACACATACTCCTTATTATCTGACCACACAAAATAATTTATTTTTAGCACAACTGCTGTTCCACTATTAAACCATGATCACCCAAACATACAAAACTAGAAGTGAGTGAATCCTACTTGTTTGCTTTTATTTTCTTCCCCTGCCTTTTTTCCATCATCTTTTTCACATCTTCTGTGGGAGGATTATCAACCATTGCCATATTTCTGTCCCCACTGCCTGCTGCTTCTTGTCATCTGCTCTAGATCTGTGTGGTGGGGAGCAGCATGGAAGTACTACCCCTACACATTGCCAGCTCTTTGCCTATGGAAGGTGCAGGGTACAGAGCATGACATGGTGACAGACTGCAAACTAACGGAAAATGTGCCGGGGTTTAAAGCTTATTTTCAGTTTTTTTAAGAATCTACTTAATAGTTTGATGATTTCAAATATCTTATACAAAAAGACTCCCTCACTTTTGTGGCTTGGAGAAAACACCAGTGCTGCTGTCTGGTATCTGGAGTCTTTTCCTATTTCTAAGCAAAATTCACAGTCAGAACTGCATTAAGTTAATGGGGGGAAAAAATTCTTTTTTAATTTACTCCTGCATTGCTACTTCAGGCTGTGTTTTGTGTGTTCTGACTGCCTGCTAGAACTGTCTAACTTAAAGAATAGTCAGATAATCTCTCAAAATGTTCCCTCTCTCCAGCTCTTCATGGCTATGGATCATTTTTACCCTGTGTATGTAGGCCTGGCTACTACAATTAGGACAAACCATGACAGTCTCTCAGGTGTTGGGCTATAATGCTTAACAGCTGTAATAGGTACACTGGATCTCCTCTGATAACAGATTCTTGTTCTTCCATGCAAATTCTTTTCTTCCATGACCAGATAGGGAGCAGACAGGGACCCCAGATCATCTTTTCCTGCATACTGTCATTGAGGAGGAAGGGCTGGAAGAGGACTGGACAGATCTGGGAGGACAACAACCACTTGCAAAGCTTTTACTGACAGCAGGGACTTGGTTTTTACAACTGTGGGATCCTCCTTGAGGATTGAGAACTGCTAGGAAGAGATCCACCTCACCACTTGGGGCAAAATCTTTCTCAGAAGGTCATCCAACCTAATGAGTAGAACATTAAACTAAAAATAAAGGGAGAGGGTGATGATGACCTACAGTCAAGTGAGGAATCACAGAATAGATTGATTTGGAAGAGACCTTCAGAGGGACGCCTTCTACCAGACTAGGTTGTTCAAAGTCTTGTCCAACCTGACCTTGAACTCTGCCAGAGATGAGGCATTCGCAGCTTCTCTGGTCAACCTGTGCCAGTGCCTTACCACCCTCACAGTGAAGAATTTCTTCCCAATATCTAATCTTCTGTCAGTTTGAAGCTATTATCCCTTGTACTATCAAGAAAGTGGTAGTCTGAGTTGGCAAGCAAAGGGTGCAGGATGAATGGACAGGAGAGCCCTCAAAACCAACCCAACAGTACAGAAGGGCTCCACTGCAGGTGCAGGCACACAAATGTCTCTGGAAGAGGCTCTCACGCCCTCCCTGAGAACCCAGCATGCCAGAAGTCTCTCCCTGAAGTGCCTGTACTTTGGTGTGCACAGCATAGGAACCAGTAGGAGTTCAGGGGTCCATGTGCAGCTACATTCATTCATGATCACAGGTATGT